GGAGATGCCCCACGTCGTGCGCGCAGCCTTTCTTGAGCTTCATGGGCCTCTACGAGCGCGGTGTTTTTTTCGAGGGCTTGCCGGCGGTGGTCTACTGCCACGGAAATGTCGCTCAGCTCCCTCGCCGGCCTGGATTGGAATGCGCCCGGCCGGCGCTGGGGCCGAGCAGTGGTCGCGCCGGGGCAGGCCTTGCCTGGGAAAGGAGTCATGCGACATGGTCGGTTCCCCGTTTCCCCCCCCCCCCCCCTCTCCGCTCTCTGGGCGATGACCTCGTCTCGCCTGTGCGATTTTGCGGTTCCCCACCAGCGCGGGGGCGCCGCTCGGGTCGCCGCGCCCAGGGGCCTCCCCCGAGCGCGCAGTGACGAAGTTGGTCGCCGTCTTAGAGGGCTTGCCGACTCGCGGTAAGCTGATGTTTGGGATTTGCGGTTGAAAGTGCCCCCTTCTGACACCGAGAGGCTCGTGGTGACCCGCGCGGCCTTCGCCCCCGTCCTTCGTCGCGTTTGGGCCGCGTCTCGAATAGCTAACCGCGTCGGGATCCAGGCCAGGTCGGCCGAGGGATTGGTCGGGGGTGCCAAACTATCCTCAGGCGGTGTCGTCTGCTGCCCCCGTTGGGAGTTGCCCGGGCCCCTGGAGAGCAGATCAATCGCTGCGAGGCCTTTTCGGCATCCCGGCGGGCGCCCGCCTTTCGACGGGTTCGCGGCCCCGAGCTGGCCATGCAGCGTCTCCGCCCCGTCGCCGAGCTGGAAGCGCTGGCGGCCTGCGGCGTCGACGGCCAGGATGTCCTTGCTGCCTGCGAGTGCTTTCTGTCCGGCGCCGCCATGGGAGTTCATGGGTGGTCGCCCCGAGATCTCCCGCAGCTCCCGCAGGAGTTCATCGAGCGTTCGGCTGCCTTAATGCATTGCGCGTGGTCTTGAATTCCCCCGACATCGTTGCTCCCCGAGACTTCCGCCACTGAGAGGCCCACTGCTTGGCCTCGCCCTGCGTCGTCTGTGCCCCGTGCGAGGGGGGATCGGGTCCACGAGTGGATTCATGGCCCTATCGAGGCTCTGCCGTGAAACAGTCGCCCCTGGGGGAGGAAGTGGCCCGTGGGCGCGCGCGTGTGGGGGGCGCGTTTTCGGTTCCGGTCCATGTGGGTTTTCTGACGTCGCAGACCCGAGTAGGCTGGTCTACTTGGCTCAGGTTGTGGATTAATCTCCGATGTTTCTCTACTTGGACCTCCAGATCCACGCCTCCCCCAGTCTCCTCCAGGTGCAATTTGCCCCTCGTCTCTGGAGTTCTGCAGGTTGGGCAGTCTATTCTGGCAGCTCGCAGTAGTGGCAGCTCATTGCCGGGCACCGCGAGTGCCCATGTCGGGTTTCGTAGGCGGCTTGGCCCAGTGCATCCAGGGCCCTGCGCCGGACATTGCTTCGAAGCTGCTTCCAGCTACTCGTGCATGTGAGCTGCGCAGGAAGCGCGGGTGCAATGCTTAATCCAAGTCGTGTGTTGTTGCCTCCTCGCAGGACGTTTGCGCCCTTTTCCAGCTCTCTGCAGTGATGAGTTGAATGTTTCCTTCCGCCATGTTAGAGCTGTGAAATGGGGTGGAGAAGGGCGATGTTTAACGCGAAGCAGGGGAAGGAGGAGGCTAATCGCCGTTCGAAGAAGTCGACCTTGCCTGCCCGCGCCAGCTCTCGCGCGACCAGCGGCGGGTTTTCTTCCATGGGATGTTGGAGTCGTCGGGCGTTCGGTGCCCCGCCCTCCCAGCGTCTGGAATGCGATAGCTTGGGCCTTTTTGCCGTTGCCCTCCCGGCACTAAATCGCGCAATGTCCGACGACGCCGCGTGGAATATTCGACTTGGGCACTGTGTAGACTGGGGCTGGGCCCAGAGGGCCCTCAGCCCCGGACAGGTAAGTATGGTGAAAGTTGTGTGGCCCAGTATTCTTGGTTAAATTTTCAGGTGCCCCCCGAGGTCATCGGCGGCGTCGTTCGGGGGCCGGTCGCCTCCGTGATCATGTGCGTTTCTGTTGCAGCGGGGGCCTTTTCGGAGCCTCGCGTTTTTTGTTTTTTCTTTTTTCCCCCGGGGCCACTCGCGTGTGGTTCGGCGCGATTTCCCGCTTCGGGCTGGTTTTCTGTCGTGGGGGGTGATCGATTATAGTCTCGGCGGTGGGTTGCAGGGTGCGTCGAACCTCGCGGCGAGGACACGTCGCGCGAGCAGCGTCGCGCTGGCGCGCGGTTGCACGCGCAAGAAACAACGCATGCACGTGGTGTGTACTTCGGGGTGGCGCATGATTCCTGGGGGGTGGTCCATCGTTCTTGCGTGGCGCCGCCGCGTTGCCGTAGGGAGCTCGGGGGCCAGTATTCGCGACCGACTGAAGCCACTGTCTGTGCGCATCACCACGTGGCAAGTACTTGCTCTTGGCGGGGGCGGGCAGTGGCGCCCCTGCCAGGGCGGTCGCGCGTGGGATTTTGCCCTTTCTTGCGGCTGCCTGGCGCGGGTGGACACATTGGGGTCCCGCGCGTTATCCCCGGGAAGATGTTCGCCGACAGGTCGGCGCTATGATCGGGGGGCGGGCGTCGGCGGCGTTCGGGGGCCGCGGTGTTCACGGGGGCGTTGATTTGATAATCTGAGGCAGCTGCGCAGCCCCCTCGCCGAGAAGGGAGGCCATGGCGGAGTGCCCCTTTTGAACCGCCGTGATGCAGGCGCGGGATGCGACTCGAAGACGCGGGCTACTTCGGCAACGGGGCGCGCGGCCGATGCGGAGCTCGGCCTGGGGCGCCCTGGCGCAGGCATTGGGAATGTCAAGCCAGTGGTCATATGGATGATGGGTTCATCCATCGCGCCGTCCATCTGTTCCGGGTCTCCCATGGTCGCGTGCCTGATTCTGAGCGCTCCTGGACCCTGGATCCCGTCGCTCTTGGATGCCCCCCCGGGCCCCCCCATTCCCGTTGAAGTTCGCGTCCAGGCCTGGGGATCTTTGCTGCGAGGCTGTGGGGGAAGGCGTCGAACCGCGAGGGGATTTGCTGGCACTGATGGTTCTGGGGTTGCTCATGCTAAGGATGAGAGCTTGCGGAGGTGTTCCTGCTCCTCAGTCGAGCTGCGTCCAGGTTTGCTACAGGCGCCTGCGGCGCGCTTCCTGGTGGGGGCCAGAGCTCGCCCAGAGCAGATTTCTATGTCTTGATTCAGGTGTTGCGCCTGGCCGAAAGTATTTCATTGTTGCGCGCTGATTATCTTCCTACTGCGCGTGTTACGGGCAGAACGAGGCTTGGGGCCAGCCGCTCGAGCGTGCTCGACCTGTGGCAGCAGGTCGATGCTTTGGTGAGCTTCAGGTCGGGGAAGCTTCAAGTGCGATGGCGCAAGAGTCATGCGTCTTGGAAGGAGGTTGCCGCCCGCCGCCTGACGCCCTCCACAGGATTGGTGCCCAACGGTGTAGCCGAGTATTTTGCGGGGGAAGCTGCGAAGCGGGGTGCACTTGCAGGAGATAAGTTTATTGAAGTTAGCAATGTACATGTTACTCACCTTCCTGTGATGAGGAGTTCCCCGGCTGTTTCGCGGCAGGCTTCCCTCGCGTGCTCGAGGGCGCGCGGGGGTAGACTGCGCTGAGAGCGCCGCCGAGAGAAAGGGCCCAGTTCGACTGATGTCCGTAAGCAATGGCGTACCGATCAATGCCATTATGTAGTCAACGTCGGTGGTGCTCTTACATGTGCTCGTTGTTTCTGTTTCCCTGCGGTCAAAAGGAGAGCTTGCGAGTGTCTGGCCTGCTCGGTGCCCTGGGGCGCCTGTGCTTGGGCCCTCGGAGGTGGTTTGTTTGGGCCTTCCCAGTCGTCGGGTTTGACCCTGGGGAACCCGAGTGGGCATCTGTATTCGGCATTGCGCATCCGACGCATGTTCTTGCTGAGTTCAAAGGTGTTTTGTTTCGACGAGGATGTGGGAGTCTCGCGGTCAGCCTGGCGCAGAAGCTGACCCAGCCTTGCCGTCCCGAGCCGTCTGCCACGGGCAGACGCAACCTTGACAGACTGGCGGAGGGCAAGCCTCTTAAGTACGACATGTCCTTCCCAGCTCCGTCACTGACCAGACCCAGGGCCGAGCTTGCACTCGTTCTCCCCTCTTTGCTAGAATCGCTGGAATGTCTTCCTCCTTGTGTCATCCTTTTCCTCGTGCCATCCTTCTCCCGCCCCCCCCCCCTTCCCCCTTCAACCCTCGCTCCCCCTTGCCTCTGCCGCCCGCTCCCCCTCGTTGTCCGCTCCCCGAAATCTCATGGCCTCGACATCAACTTGCCCATTCCGTTCACAGGGTGTTCTTCGATACGTGCGTTTTCATTTGTCCGCCCAGACGGGTCCCGACCACCCCGCGAACGCCGTCAGAGGACCCGGGCTCGATTTTGCATCCAGACCAGCGAACAGAGAGAAGCACCCGCAATGGGCGGGAATGGGTGGGCGGGTGTCACGTGTCGCGTGAGTTTTCCAGGCCATGCTTCTCCGCACTCGTAATCATACAGGCAGATGGAAACACAGAAACCTCAAGTGGAAACGGCCACATATCGACAGTGGTTATCGGTGGTCGTTTTCCTGCAACATGCATTTTCTCTCGTCCGTTCCACGGAACATGTCCCGTGTCGTGGGCGAGTGCGGCTGGGTGCGTCAGCAGCCGTGCGCTAAGGGTTGCCACTCTTTTTTCTCGCGTGCTGCTGCCCCCCCGTCGCCCGTCTCGTTCGCCGCCGCCTTCCTCCTGCGCGCCGGCCGCCGCCCGCCATTGTGGACGGCATCCTCTCGCTCGCTCCGGCTGCCTCGGGGCTCTCGAGGGCCTCCGAGGGCCTCCGACACACAGTCTCGAGGACGCCCGAGGGCCTTTTGACGGCCCCCGAGGGGCCCCCGGAAGCCTCCGAACGCTTTCGTGACGACGACGACGATGACGGCGACAGCCCCCCCCCCGAGGCGCCTCTGACGGCCCCCGAGGGCCCCCGGAAGCGTCCGAACGCTTTCGTGACGACGACGACGACGACGACGGCGAAAGCCCCCCCCCGAGGCGCCCCGCCCGCCGAGAGTGCGCGCGCGGCGGCCGCGGCGCGCGCGCTGGCTGGCGTCCGCTGGCAGCCCGGCAGCGCAGCGGGGGCGGCGGTGGCGGGGGCCCTCGCCGAGCTGCAGGCCGTGGCGGCCGCTGGCGGCGCGGGCGGCGCCGTGTCGTTCTTGGGCCGCATCGCCACCACGGTCCTGGAGCGGATCTGCACACTGGCGTGTGTATGTCTGTTCGTATGTAATTACGCACGTGCGTTTGTAGGTATGTATGTGTGTGTGTGTGTGTGCACGCATGCATGCGTGCATGTCGGGATGTAGATTGGCTCGTTTTTTTTGGAATCTGCATCTATGTCTAGATGTCAGCCAGCATGGACCCCAAGCAACGTGTTCTAGCAATCGATATGGTGCAATCTAGGTGGTTCAGTATATGAGGAGTAATACAGGTGGACTATCTGGTGCAACAGATGTTGTGCAATCGACGTGGTGCAATCTATGTGGTGCACTCTATCTCGTACAGTATCTGTGGCGTAAACGGTGTACTGCAATCTAGTTGGTGTGAGATATGCAAGATACGTGGTTGAATCTATGTGGTGCAGTATATGGGGTGCGATTGATTTTCACCTATGATTTGACACACCCCATGCTCTTGCAAACATCCCACCCTCCCACCCGCAACTTGGTATGCAAAACCTCTTAAGACCGTGACGTTAGGTACCAAATCGCCTTTGGCAACGACACCGACGCCGACGACGACAGCGACGTCGACGGCGACGACGCCGACGACCACGACTACGACGACACCGACGACGTCTCCGACGACTTCGACGACGACGACAACGACGACGACAACGACGACGACGACGGCGACGACGACGACGACGACGCCGATGCCGACGACGATGACGACGCCGACGACGACGCCGACGCCGACGATCACGACGACGACGACGACGCCGACGACGACGACGACGACGACGGCGACGACGACGACGACGCCGACGTCGACGACGACGACGACGACGCCGACGCCGACGACGACGGCGACGACGACGACGACGTCGCCAACGAAGACGACGACGAGGGAGGGGGGAGGACGACGACGGTGACACCGACGACAACGACGACAACGACGAGGGAGGAGGGACGACGGCGACGACGCGAACGACGAAGAAGGAGGAAGGACGGCGACGCCGACGACGACAACGACGAGGGAGGAGGGAAGACGACGACGACGACAACGACGACGACGACGACGACGAAATAGAAGGGACGACGACGAGACGCCGACGACGACGACGACGAGGGAGGAGGAGGAAGGACGACCACGGCGACAACGACGACGGAAACGACCACGACGCCAAAGAGGACGACGACGACGAACACGAGGAAAGACAGAGGACGACGTAGGCGACGACGACGACGCGGGAGGAGGGAGGACGGCGACGACGACGACGACGACGACGCAAGAGCGCGCGCGCACGCTTTTGTTGAACATCCGTGTTGCGAAACCTTGTATTTTTGTAGGTTGTTTGGACACACGATTTTGGAATCCTTCCGAAACCGATGGGTTTTGAAGGATTTCGGCATACGCGCGCGACGACGCGCCCGTCTGCACTTCGTCCCATGTTTTGTAGAGGATTCTCGCGACGGCACGTGCGCAAGGGTATTGGGAAGATTTCGATATGCGCGCGCGAAGCCCGTTTGGTAGCATTTTGTAAAAATCTTGAACAACCCTTGGTTTTCTTAAGATTTCGCAAGATCTCGCGCGGAAGCTTTTTTCGCAAATCAGTGTTGCGAAACCCTGTGTTTTTGTATGTTTTTGGGAAGCTCGATTGCGAAATCCTTCCAGCACCGAGGGTTTTTGAAGGATTTCGGCATGCGCGCGCGACGACGCGCGCGCGTGCACGTCGTCCCTTTTCTGCAAGGGATTCGTGAACAAGTGTTATGTTAGAACACGAAATCTCCCCGCGTATCGATTTTTTACAAGGGAACCTCAGGGGTACCGATCCCGGTTCCCCTGGGATAGTGTGAGTTCATATTGCTAAGGCCTTATGGCCGGTGCCGCCGACCCTGAAGACGACGACGACGACGACGGCGAATACGAGGAGGAGGAGGAGGAGGAGGAGGAGGAAGAGGAGGAGGGGGAGGAGGAGGAGGAGGAGGAGGAGGAGGAGGAGGAGTAGGAGGAGGAAGATGAGGAGAGGAGGAGGAGGAGGAGGAGGAGGAGGGGGATTAAGGTGGAAGGGAACAGGAGAAGGCGAAAAAGATGTTCCCCATGTGGGCCGAGGGAGTCGTAGCAGAGACAGACAGGGAGCCTTGTGGCCTGCGGCCCTTCCCGCCGCAGTGCTGGGGTTGTGGGTGAAAGGCCTCTTGGATATTTTCGGGCCTGTTGGGGCCTATGTTGGGCCTCTTGGGGGTTTCTTGGGGTCTTCTTCGAGCCCTTTGAGGGGCTTTTGGGGTCTTCCTGGGGGCTGTTTGGGGCGGGAAGCTCGAAATGTCGGCTCGTGGTCCTCTTCTCGGGCCTGCTTGGGGCCCTCTTGGCGCGTCTTGGCGTTTTTTTGGGCTCCGTGACGCCTAGGGGCGGATGCGTATCTGACCTCCCCCCACGGGAACCCCTCGGGACCCCCCCCCAGCGGGTAGTTTTTGGGTGAGGAATCGTGGGGTCGGGGGTCCCAAGATAACAGAGCTGCCGTGGGTGCGGATGCCGGGGCCAGGAGGGGGGTGTCGGTCGTTTTTGGCAGAGACATCGTGGGGTCGGGGGTCCCAAGAACAGAGCTGCCGCGGGTGCGGATGCCGGGGCCAGGAAGGGGGGTCGGTCGTTTTTGGCAGAGAAATCGTGGGGTCGGGGGTCCCAAGAACAGCCGTGGATTCGGATGCCGGGGCCAGGAGGGGGTGTCGGTCGTTTTTTGGGTGAGAAATCGCGGGGTCGGGGGTCCCAAGAACTGGGCTGCCGTGGGTGCGGATGCCGGGGCCAGGAGGGGGGGTGTCGGTCGTTTTTAGGGGAGAAATCGTGGTGTCGGGGGTCCAAAGAACAGAGCTGCCGTGGGTGCGGATGCCGGGGCCAGGAGGGGGGTGTCGTTCGTTTTTGGATGAAAAATCGTTGGGTCGGGGGTCCCAAGAACAGAGCTGCCGTGGGTGCGGATGCCGGGGCCAGGAAGGGGGTGTCGGTCGCTTGTGGGCGAGAAATCGTGGGGTCGGCGGTCCCAAGAACAGAGCTGCCGTGGGTGCGGATGCCAGGGCCAGGAGGGGGATGTCGGTCGGTCGTTTTTGGGCGAGGCATCGTAGGATCGGGGGTCCCAAGAACAGAGCTGCCGTGGGTGCGGATGCCGGAGCCAGGAGGGAGGTGTCGGTCGTTTTTTGGGTGAGAAATCGTGGGGTCCGGGGTCCCGAGAACAGAGCTGCCGTGGGTTCGCATGCCGGGGCCAGGAGGTGGGTGTTGGTTTTTGTTGGGCGAGAAAGGGTCGGGAGTGCCAGGAACAGAGCTGCCGTGGATTCGGATGCCGGGGCCAGGAGGGGGGTGTCGGTCGTTTTTGGGTGAGAAATCGCGGGGTCGGGGGTCCCAAGAACTGGGCTGCCGTGGGCGCGGATGCCGAGGCGAGGAGGGGGGTGTCGGTCGTTTTTGGGCGAGGAATCGCGGCGTCGGGAGTCTGGATGGCGGGGAGCCGCGGTGGGGGCGTGGTGACAGCGAGGAAGGGGGGGGTTGCTGTGCGGGTGCCGGGCCGTGGTGGGGGCGTGGTGGGGGGTTTTGGTCAAGTTTGGGCGGGAAAGTGTCGCGTGGGGGGTCTCTAAAACTAAGCTCGCGAGGGGGTCTGGATGGCGGGGGGCCGCGGTGGGGGCGTGGTGACAGCGAGGAGGGGAGGCGGGTTGCTGTGCGGGTGCCGGGCCGTGGTGGGGGTCATGGAGGGGAGCGTCGGTCGTTTTTGGGCGAGAAATCGTAGGGTGTGGGCGAGAAATTGTCGTGTGGGGGGTCTCTTGAACTGAGTTCGCGAGGGAGTCTGGATGGTGGACAGCGAGGAGGGGGGGGGGGGTTGCTGTGCGGGTGCCGGGCCGTGGTGGGGGCGTGGTGGGGGGTGTTGGTCCAGGCGGGGGGTGTTTGTCGATTGTGGGCGAGAAATCGCGGGGTCGGGGGTCCCAAAAACAGACGCTCCATGGGGTGGGGGCCTTCGGATGCCGGGGCGTGGTGGGAAGGCCCGGTGGGGGGTGTCGGTCCATTTTGGGCGAGAAATCGTAGGGTCGGGGGTCCCAACAACGAGCGCTCCATGGGGCGGGGGCCTTCGGATGCCGGGGCGTGGTGGGAGGGCCAGGTGGGGGATGTCGGTCGATTTTGGGCGAAGGGGCTGAAGCTAGGAGTTCGGCCGCACACGCCTTTGGGGTCGGCGGATTTGGAATGGACGCGTGGTCATAATCATATAAGATTTACATACCCGAAAAAGGAGGGCACTAACGCCGGGGGGTGGGGGTAGAGTGTCTTCTCTTTTCTGAAAGGAGAATCAATCACTTGCTCACCTTGAGGCTGTCCTCTCCGCTGCTCGTGCAGACATCCCGCCCTCCCACCCGCAACTTGGCCGCAAGACTTCCTAAGATTGTGACGGTGGGGACCCAATGGCACTTGGCAACGACACCGACGCCGACGACGACAGCGACGACGACTGCGACGACGACGCCGCCGCCGACAACGACTACTACGACGACGCCGACGACGTCTCTAACGACTTCGACGACGACGACAACGACGACGACGACAACGACACCGACACCGACGACGACGACGCCGACGCCGACGACGACGACGACGTTGACAACGCCGACGACGACGACGCCGTCGACGACGACGAAGAAGACGACGACGACGTCGCCAACGAAGACGACGACGACGAGGGAGGAGGGAGGACGACGACGGCGACAACGACGAGAATGACGAGGGAGGAGGGAGGACGGCGACGACGCGAACGACGAAGAAGGAGGTAGGACGGCGACGCCGACGACGACAACGACGAGGGAGGAGGGAAGACGACGACGACGACGGCGACGAAATAAGAGAGAGAACGACGAAACGCCGACAAAGACGACGAGTGAGGAAGGACGACCACGGCGACACCGACGTCGGAAACGACGACGTCACCAAGACGACGACGACGAAGAAAGGCAGAGGACGACGACGGCGAGGACGACGACGAGGGAGGAGCGAGGTCGGCGACAATGACGACGACGACGACGCAAGAGCGTGCGCGCACGCTTTTGTTGAAAATCCGTGTCGCGAAACTCTGTGTTGTTGCATGTTGTTTGGCCACTCGATTTTGAAATCCTTCCGAAACCGAAGGTTTTTGAAGGATTTCGGCATACGCGCGCGACGACGCGCGCGTGCGCACCTCGTCCCATGTTTTGTAGAGGATTCTCGCGACGGCACGTTCGCAAGGGCATTGGAAATATTCGACATGCGCGCGAAGCCCGTTTTTTTATTGTTCTCTCTCTTTCTCTCTCTCTCTCTCTCTCACATACATATATATGTGTATATATATATAAAAGAGAATATGGACAATACATTGTCCCTTGAGATTTCTCAAGAGCGTGCGCGCACGCTTCTGTTGAACATCAGTGTTGCGAAACCCTGTTTGTTTGTATGTGTTTTGGAAACTCGATTTTGCAATCCTTCGGACACCGAAGGTTCTTGAAGGATTTCGGCATGCGCGCGCGACGACGCGTGCGTGTGCACTTCGTCTTTTTTTTGCAAGGGATTCTTGAAAACTTATGACTTCTGATACACGAGTATGTGCGCATAGTTATTTGCAGAGGATGGCGGGGGGAACCCATACCGGTTTGGCTGGGATAGTATGAATTCACAGGTCGGATGGACATTGGGTCATAATCTTATGTCTTTGACATCGGTTCCGGGGGGCTTTCACCCCGGGGGGGGGAGGGCGTTTTTTTGTTTGGATAGGAGATTGTAGGCGGAGCGATATCTGCTGTGGAATCTATGGGAGCAATGCACATGTGCAAACCAGTGCAAATAAAGCAAGGCACACACATGCAACACAATTCTAAGTAATGCAAAGCAATGCAAAGTATCGCGAAGCAGTGCAATGCCATGCAAAGCAATGCTACGCCATGCCGATGCAATGCCAATGCAATGCCAATGCAATGCCAACGCAATGCCAATGCAAAGCGATGCGAAGCAACGAACAGCCATGCAAAGCAGTGCGGCGCAATGCAAAGCAAAAGCGGGCGGCGACGGGCGGCGACGAGGCGGCGACGGGCGGCGACGGGCGGCGACGAGGCGTCTTCGGCGGCGACGTGGCGGCCAGAAGGCCGCGCAGGCCCATGCGATTGGCGGCGACGGGGTGGCGACCGGGCGGCGACGGTGGCTGCGTGCCCCCAGAGCGCTGCGCAGGCCCAGGTCTGCAGAGCACAAGTGAGAAACCGTGCAGTGGAGGCCCATGCCAAGGAACACCCTGCTTGCCTCAAGGGCGCCCTGGGTTGCTTGGGTTTCGATGGTTTTGCTATGGAGCGCGTGGCGCTCCCCCACCAGCAGAAATCAACGGACGTCCCGGGTCTCAGGGTCGGGCCTCTTGAGGGAGGTTTTCGGTGGGCTGGCCTCCACTGTAAGTGCAAGCGCTGCTTGGGGAACATGTGCACTGATGCCGATGTCCCTTCCTTGCGGAGGAGGAGGAGGAGGAGGAGGAGGAGGAGGAGGAGGAGGAGGAGGAGGAGGAGGAGGAGGAGGAGGAGGCGGAGGCGGAGGCGGAGGCGGAGGCGGAGGCGGAGGAGGGGTGGCCCTTCGTCGCCACGGCTCGGCTCGGTTGGCTGCCCTCTCAGGTCCAGCGCTGGATCCCGTGGAGCAGCGCGGGCGGCGCCCGCACCGGAGCCTCCGTGTGAGCTCTGGTGCCCAGCGCGGGGCAGCCGACGAGCAGGTCTGAGGCCGCGTCGCGCAGATCCCAGCGCGCGGCGCGCGATTGCCCAGGGGGTGATTCGGCGGCTCGCGCAGGGGGGGAAGGCAGGGGGGCTGGGCCTCCTCCGAGGGCTCGGAAGGTCTCTGGCCTGCCGAGCAGCTTCCCGAGCCGTCGCCAGGTCAGCATCGTTTGGCCGACCCCTATCCCCATCCCCATCCCCATCCAGACCCCCACCATCTCATCCCCCCAGTTGGGGACATACCCTTCAACATCTGACAGAAACGACCTGTATCCCCATCTAGGGGGGAAAACCAGCCAGTGGGGCCCAGGCCACGCGAGTGGGGATAGGGATCGGTTGAACGATGCTCACCAGAGCCACATGGGGGCTTCTCAAAATCAAGGGAGGAAAAACCGCCCAGAGCCCGACGATTGGCGCTCACGGAGCGGCCCTGGGCGCTTCCGACACAGCCCTGCCCTGTTCGATTCCTTCCCTGGGTGCGTTTGCTACACGGCTTCGCCTGTCGGGGTGATTATTCTCCTGGGGGGGGATTTTCTGTCCCTCTTAAAGAAGACCAGAAGGGTTATGATGTTCCAACCTACTATAGCCTTGATCACCAGAAAGAATTCCCAGCACCAGAAAAGTGCCGAAGCTCGAGGGTTTTCGCGTGTGGAGCCCTGGGAGACACTCGTCCCACACTGTTTCGACACTGATTCGACACTCTTTCGACACTCTTTCGACACTCTTTCGACACTTTTCCGGGTGCTCGAAATTATTCAATCACTTCGCTCATTCCGCTGGATCTGGAGCCCTCTTTAGGGCCTCTTGGGGACCTCTTGGGAGTCTCTTGGGGCTCCTTGGCGGCGTCTTGGGGGCCCCCAGGGCCTCCTGGGGGGCTCTGGGGGGCCTCTTGTGGCAGGAGGGGGGGTAGTCGATTGCGCTCTCCCCCCCCCCCCCTCGGAGGCCACGATCCTCGTGCGGGTGTTCGCGATTATCTCTTGGACCACGCTGGGGGGCTACGCAGCACAAGGGCTTCTGGGAAGCCCCGCCGCCCCCCGAGGGCGGCCCTGCCCCGTGTTCCGCCCCCCGCCTCGGCGCGCCGCCGACCGGCGGGGGCCACGCGCGCGGACCCGTGCGCTCACGTCGGGCGTGCCCATCTGCACTCCGCGGAGGGCGATCAGTGGAGAGGGGGCACGCTGCCAAATCATTCCCAGATGTGTTAAACGTGCGTGAAACATGCTTCAAACATAGAAGACATGTGAGACACATGCTTCAACCATCTTCATAACACGTTCCGGCATTTTCACACGTGCCGAATTCGATTATAGGACCGTTAGGGTGTCCAGTGTCGTGGCATCCAGACCTCTACAGGAGGAGTATTCAAGCAGAGTAAAAAATAGTCTGGGGACGATTTTCGACCATTCTGGATTATTCTTGGACATTTCTTGCGTATTTTTTATCTTACCGTATGGGGGACACGCCCGGCCTAACCCTACCCCTGCCCCCCACGATTTCTGAGGGGGAGGGTGGGGTTCACTTTGTGCGGGAGCTCCCGAGCGAAGCGAATCCCACCCTCCCCCTCGGAAATCGTGGGGGGCAGGGGTAGGGTTCGCATGTGGCTCCCTAGCCGGCCAGAGGTGATGAAGGGTCCGATCCAGGAGTTTGGGGGACGGGAAGGGAGAGGAGAGCAGGAGATGTGATCCAGCAGGCTCGCGCACTTTTTCCAAGGAAGCCGGGTGTTCGCATCGCGCTGGAAGAGCAGCCATTCTTCCAGTCTCTGGCTGAGCTCTGTACTCTTGCCGAGCTGGATAGATGCGAGGCTACTGGCTGTGTTCGAGCAGGGTTTGCTGAATAGCCTTCTCGATCTAGTGCGAGTGCACATATTGCCAAGCACAAGCAACGCTTGGATTTGACGCGTTTTGTGATAGATTTTGATCTAGCCGATAGGACAGCTACGATTGTGGTGTCCCGTCAGGCTTTCCAGACAAATCTGCCATAACGCAGCTCTTTAATTGCACCATGTATGATCTGTCATTATGCAGCACTTTGATACAGGCAAGATGTAGTAATATGCCCCTACAGCGAACTCGCAGGGGGGATTGTTTCACCCGTCTCGCGCAGTCGCTGCAAACCGTGCACCAGCAGCGGCCGAGGTGGCAGCGATATCTCCAGAGGAGGAGAACATCGAGGTGAGTTCAGCAAAAAATTGTCGGCTGAAGTATGTCAATGCATTGAGCCCTTTTGGCAACCGAGGTAAGCCATTGGCAACCATGTGGTAGGAGCGGAGGAGCTAGCTGTATGGTAATGGACGCATGTGATTCGACATTTCGCATTTCTACTCATTTGTTTCGAATGTAGCACGGAGCAATGCCTAGATACTCGCCAAGCCGACTTAGTTCAACGTGCCAGAGTGATGGGGGAGAGGGTTCGGAAGGAGGCGCGGAAGCCTTGGCCCTCAGTAGCAGCTCTTGCCCAAGTCGGGTCAGCACCTCGCGCCAGTAACTGATCAAGCCCAGGGTTCGCCCCGACTTGCCCCGGGGATCTTGTCGCATACGTGGATGCGCATCGCTGTGGTCACCTGCAGTGGGCGCGAGCTCGCGGCGCTGGATGCCGACCCGTCATGGCGGTTGCAGGACGTGCTCGCCGCGATCGCCGAACCAGCCAGCACGCTTGGCTTCAGCCGAGAGGCCTGCGCCGTTCCGCCCGGCCCCCAGAGTGGACGGTGCCCACGGGGTTGCTGCGAGGGAGGCAGCCTCCTGCAGTCAACCCCCACAGGGAGGATGTGCGACCTTCCCACGGGTGCCCTTGCATCCTTGCCCCTCCTTCGGCCCGCTTTCGCTGGCCGCGCCCCGCTCGCAGGGTGCCGACATGGCCTTCCAAGGCCTTTGCATCCCACAGGATCCGGCTTGAATAAGGAACGCTTACTTTTCAAATGGGGCTCGGTCGTTCCTTTGGTTTGCTTGCGGTCCGCTACCTTTTTTGCGGCGAGCCTCCCTGGTGCACCTTGAAAGAAGGGGGGCTTATCGCTCCTTAGGTCGGGCCGAATCCTGCAATCGCGCGTCCTTATGATACGGGTGTGCTGTGAGAGGGCGGAACGGGGGCTTCTTGGAAGACGGGAGCCTTCTCAGAAGGCTTCCCAGAAGCCGTGCGGGCTCCCGAGAAGCCCCCCTGCCTCCTTCGGACGCCCGCCGCCTCGCCAGAGGCTCTCACTCCCCCCTCGCGCCAAGCCCTCGTGGGCGCCGCTGGCAGAAGAGGGGGTGTGCGGCTTCTGGCCTCGCGTGTGCTGTCTGCTGCTTCGTGCTGCACGCGGGAGGCTGCTGCGGATCCGTTCTCCTCTTCCCTCACTGCCGGTTCGGGGCTTCCTGGGGACTTGGCATCGCTCGGACGTGTGCATTTTTCCTTCGGCGAGGACAATCTAGGAGCATCCTTGGCAATTTGGCGAACAAAAACACGCACGAAACTGAAGAAAGCACAGGGAGTGGACGTCCGAGCGATGGCCAGGGGACCTCGCGGATGTCTCGGGGACGGCCTTTCGGGAGGCATCCTGGGGGCCTCCTGGGGACAGGGTTAAGGCGGGCCTGTCCCTCTACAGGGGGAATATTCAAAAATAGTGGAAAAATGGTATGGGGCCGATTTTTGGACTATTCTTGCACATTTTGGAGTATTTACCTAACAGCGTTTGCTGATAACCTCATGCCCGTGAGAATAAACACTAGGGGATAATAAAGTTCGGGGTTCAGGGAGAGATAATAAAAGTAGCCCAGCAGACCTCAGCATAATCTCGAAGTAAGAGATGATCAAGAGGAGACCAAGCCGAGCACGTTTTGAGACATCCTTGGCGTTTAGTTTTCATATAAATATCCTCAACAATGGCTTATCTCGCTGGAATGGAGGAATCTATATATAAAACAGAAAATAAAAATAATAAATAATAAAATAAAAGAAGTGATAGGAGGAGGAGAAGGACGAAGAGAAGAAACAATATCGAGTTTCAAATCTATTAGATATTATTTACAAGCGCTTTATGAACACTGTTTTTTTGTAAGTGCTCGTGTAGGGTAGCTCATGTGCCTCAATTTCCATGGATAATCAACCCCAGAGATAAAAAAGTTCAGGCGAGCGTGGGGACAGAGAGAAATATAAAAAAAGAAGAATACAGTAGAAGAATACTAAGAAAGAAGAAGAAGAGGATAATAAGAAGTGGACGAAGAAAGGAAAAATCCAAAGTTCCAAATCTATCAATTTTAATTTACAAACGCTTTATGAAAATTGTTTTTTTTAAGTGCTCGTGTAGGGTAGCTCATGTGCTTCATTTTCCATGGATAATCAACCCCAGGGATAAAAAAGTTCAGGCGAGCGTGAGGACAGATAGAAGTATAAAAGAAGAAGAGGGAAGTATAATAATAATAAGAAGAGAAGAAGAAGAGAAGAAGAAGAAGAAGAGAAGAAGAACGGAAAAATGGAAAGTTCCAAATCTATCAATTTTAATTTTCAAACGCTTTATGAAAATTGATTTTTTTAAGTGCTCATGTAGGGTAGCTCATGTGCTCCCCTTTCCATGGATAGTCAACCCCAGAGATAAAAAAGTTCAGGCGCGCGCGGGGATAGCAACATCGCTTGATGTTGCTATCTCAACACAGCGTTTCGAGGTGATAATGAAGTTCGGCCTCAGCGCTCGCCGCCCAATTTGAATTTTGTATAGGGCGACGATAATCAACTCTAAACACTGAAGGGAAGGGGGGGGGGTCCCTTTATTATCATCGGCATGCGGTTAGGTTTCTAGTAGGGTCAAAAGAGAGCATCATGACTCCTCAGGGGGGTCTGGGCGGGTGCCGGGGAAGAGAACCGGAAATCGTTTTTCGCTAACAGTCACACACTTCGTGCTCTTCGACCTCCCAGAACTCCATTCCCGGGACACATTCTGGAGAACCGGGAACAGAGCCGGGCTCGCTTTTCGCCAACAGTCACACACTTCGTGCTCTTCGAGTTCCCAGAAGTACATTCCCGGGCCACATTTTGGATGCCCGGAGCCAACTGTAGGCCACTTCGTGCTCTTCGATTTCCCATAACTCCATTCCCGGGCCACATTTTGGATGCCCGGAGCCAACTGTAGGCCACTTCGTGCTCTTCAAGTTCCCAGAACTCCATTCCTGGGCATGATTTTGAATGCCCGGAGCCAACTGTAGGCCACTTCGTGTTCTTCTAGTTCCCAGAATTCCATTCCTGGGCCACATTTTGAATGCTGAGGCAGGCTGATGCTGCGGCCGAGGCAGGCTGAGGCTGAGGCAGGCTGAGGCTGAGGCCGAGGCTGAAGGCAGACTGAGGCTGAGGCTGAAGCAGACTGAGGCTGAGGCTGAGGCAGGCTGAGGCTGAGGCTGAGGCAGGCTGATGCTGAGGCAGGCTGAGGCTGAGGCTGAGGCTGATGCAGGCTGAGGCTGAGGCAGGCTGAGGCTGAGGCCGAGGCTGAAGGCAGACTGAGGCTGAGGCTGAAGCAGGCTGAGGCTGAGGCTGAGGCAGGCTGAGGCTGAGGCAGGCTGAGGCTGAGGCTGAGGCAGGCTGAGGCTGAGGCTGTGACTGCGACTGCCGTTGCCGCTGCGACTGTCATCGCGAATGCGACTACGACTGCGAGAACAGCAGAATTCTACAACTGGATTTTCATCTGAATCTTAAGGGGAATGCTTTCAGATATGCTTCTACATATCGCTGTTAGGTTGCTTTGCCGGGATAATTTTTATTTTTCGTCGAAAATCCCCCTGTAGGGGGACATGCCCGACCGAAGGGCAGGGCCAGGATGGCGGAGGCCAGAAGGGTGGGGAGGCCACCCGTACTGGAGTGCTGCCAGAGCGTGGTGCCGGCACCTGCAACTCTGTGTGCCGTCCGTCGAACGTGAGCTCGTAGCACTAGAGCCCCGCCTCTGGCTCCGGGGTGAGGTGACGAGTAGCACTAACCCTTTCTCTCGGGGGGGGGGTCTGGCTGGTTGCAGGCCGCACAGAGGTCGAGTGGCCACTCGGTATTGGCCCCCCGAGTGAGGGCAACTCGCGGGGCTGGGGGACCCAGCGGGGGGGGGGGAGTGGCCATCCAGCGACGTCGCAGCCGGCAGGCAGAAGGAGGAGAGGGCCACGGGCGAAGCATCCGTGGGGCCAGGCGGGGAGCTGTCTGGGCAGGTCGCCGCCTCGGCTGGCGTGTCGGGTCGTGGCCCGGCGGGTGCTGCCCCGTAGGGGGGGGGGCAGGTGTTGGACGCGGTTGGGGATTGTAGGGGGCCACATGCGAACCCTTTGCACCGGCGTGCCTGTGCATTGCAATCCGAGGCACGGCGATGCCCGAGCGCTTGCACGCTCCTGCCCTGCATTTTTCCTGATCGCATGTGTTGTTATTTAGCTTGCCAATGCGCCGTCTGGGCGCGGCTTCTTTCGTTCGTTCGTACATGCGAATCGTACCCCTACCCCCCACGATTTCTGAGGGGGAGGGGGGGGGGTCACTTCGCTCGGGAGCTCCCGAGCGAAGTGGACCCCACCCTCCCCCTCAGGAATCGTGGGGGGTAGGGGTAGGGTTCGCATGTGGCCCCCCAGATTGGCATCCCTCGGCAGGCTGAGGGGCTGCTGAGGGCGTTGGGGGGGCCATCTCGTGAGGGAGGCCTTCCAGGGCTCCTGCGAAGGCCCCTTCTTGGGCCTCTCTTTGGTCCCCCATCGAGGCCCTCCTTAATCAGGAGGGACAAAACACACAGACACAATGAATCGCCGATTCCCAGGAAAAGATGGGAAACAAATGGGAAGTGGGGGGGAAGACAAACACCCGGAAACTATGGGAAAATATGGAGAGTCCTTGTACTTGTGTCTATTTATTTGTGTGTGTGTGTGTGTGTGTGTGTGTGTGTGTGTGTGTCCCAGGGGCCCTTCATTGAGACCCTCTTGACGGCCTTGCTGGCTGTCTTAGGTGCGGCGGGTGTGGTGGGGCCCAGCAGGCCCGGCTGGGCTTTCAGGAGCTCGACAAGGCGAGAACGCGAAAATACTGGCAAACATAAGGACACTGCTTTTCCTCAACCATCCTGTGGTGTTGGGTCGTCGTTTTGAGGAGACAGCGCCCCGCGTTCCGTTCCTCTCCTCCTCCCCCTCCCTCTTCCCGTCACCCCCTCACTTTGGCACACCCCTCACACGTGCGCTTTGTGGTCCCATAGGAAACTCCACCGAAGGTCTGAGTGGCGCAGCCCGCATGCGTCCCCGCCTCTCATTTCAGCACACCCTCCCGCGTTTCGTGGCTCCAGAGTAGCTCCACCGAATGTCTCAGTGGCGCAGCCCTCATGCGTCCGCGCCACCCATTTCGGCACACCCCTCGCAAGTTTCGTTAGCCCCGTAGGAGGTCTACCGAGGCCCCAGTGGCGCGCAGCCCGCTTGCGTCCCTGCCACCCATTTGGCGAGCCCCTCACAAGTTTCGTGGTGCCAATACACCGAAGATCCCAGGTGCGCAGCCCGCATGCGTCCCCGCCCCCAATTGCGGCACATCCCTCACGCGCTTTGTGGCCCCATAGGGAACTCCACCGAAGGTTTGAGTGGCGCAGCCCGCATGCGTCCCCGCCTCCCATTTCGGCACTCCCCTCACACGCTTCGTGGTCCCAGAGGAGCTCCGCCGATGGTCCCAGTTGCGCAGCCCGCATGCGTCCCTGCCCCCAATTGCGGCACACCCCTCATACGTGCGGCGTCCCCGTCACCCATAGCCACACGCCCCTCACAAGTTTCGTGGTCCCACGAGGAGTTCCACCGAAGGCCCCAGTGGCGGTGCCCACAGGCGTCCCCGCCACACATTTCGGCACAGCTGGCACACGTTCCGTGACCCATTAGGGAGTTCCAGCGAAGGTCCTCGTGGCGCAGCCCGCATGCGTCCGCGCCACTCATTTCGGCACACCCCTCGCACGTTTCGTAGCCCCATGGGGACCCCCACTGGAGGCCACATTGGCTGTGCCCACATGCGTCCCCTGGCACCCATTTCGGCACGCCCCTCACACGTTTCGTGATCCCATAGAGAGCTCTACCAACGGCCCTAGCGGCGGTGCCCACAGGCGTCCCCGCCACAAATTTCGGCACACTCCGCACACGTTTCGTGGTCCCATTGGAAACTCGACCGAAGGCCCCAGTGGCGGTGCCCACGTGTGTCCCCGCTGCTCGTTTCGGCACGCCCCTCACACGTTTCCTGGCCCCATAGTGATTTCCACCGAAGGCCCCAGTGGCGTAGTCCACAAGCGTCCCCGCAACCCATTTCGGCACACCCCTTGCACGTTTCGTGGCCCCATAATGGAACTCCACCGATGGCCCCAGTTGCAGTGCCCACATGCGTCCCCGCCACCCAGTTCGGCACACTCCCCACGTTTCGCGGCCCCAAAGGGGGCTCCACCGAAGAGGATACACACAAATGCGTTACTCACAACTGCATATGGTTGGGTCCTTCGCCAGGCGAATTGCTTCTTGAGGCCCTGTGGAGGTTCTCTTGTGGCCCTCTTGGGGCATCGTGGGGGCCTCCTGGACCATCTTCAAGCAATCTTCTGTGTTTTTGCTGGTTCTCTGGCGTGTTGGAGCTCGTCTTGGGCCATCTTAGCATGCATCTCGAGCACCGTGAAAGCGCCGAGACTTGCTTTGGCGGCTTGGAGGGCGAAAGAGCCGCGCTTGTGAGTTCGTGGCCCCCTCCCTTGACCCCCCTTTCTCGTTTAGAAAAGCAGTTTGGACTTGTGGGAAGGGGGAAAAGGGGAGGGGGATAGCCCATTATCTCACACGCCTTTTCACCCCCAGCAAGCTGGGGTCGGCGGGCCAAACGTGTCTTTCTGGGAGACGTCGAGCTGCGTGGGAGCACGACGCTGGCCGATATCGGAGCTGCGGACTGCTCCGACTTGACCGTGGTGGCCTCGCCCTCTCCCCTCGTGGCATCTGGGTCGCAGGACGGGCTGGTGAGGATCTGGTCCGCGGCCTCGGGCAGGTGCCTGCGCACGCTGCAGGGCCACCGAGGCCCCGTGCGGTCCGTGGGCTTCTCCCCCGACGGGCAGCTGGTGCTGACGGCCTCGGAGGACTGCACGTGCAGGCTCTGGTGCTCTGCCTCCGGGGAGTGCCTGCGCACGCTGGAGGGCCACCGGGACTGGGTGAGATCCGCTGCCTTCTCGCCCGACGGGCAGGAGGTGCTCACGGCCTCCGACGACCGGACCGCGACGGTGTGGTGCGCTGCGACGGGGGAGTGCTCGCGCTCGCTGGTGGGGCACCGGCGGGCAGTGATGTCCGCGGTGTTCTCGGGTGACGGGCGGGAGGTGTTGACTGCCTCGGACGACGGGACTGCAAGGATCTGGTCGGCTGCTGCTGGGCATAGCCTGCGCACACTGGAAGGCCATCGAGGTTTTGTGAAGTCTGCAGTGTTCTCCCCGGTTGGGCGGGAGGTGCTGACTGCTTCTTCTGACGGGACGGCGAAGATCTGGTCCGCCTCCTCGGGGGAGTGCCTGCGCAGCCTGGAGGGGCACAAAGACGTCGTGCGGTGCGCCGTCTTCTCGCCCGACGGGCGGGAGGTGCTGACCGGCTCGGACGACATGACGGCGAAGGTGTGGTCGGCCGCTGCCGCAGATTGCCTGCGCACGCTGGAGGGCCACTCGAGCTTCGTGCTCTGCGCCAGCTTCTCGCCGGACGGGCAAACGGTGGGAGACCCCTCTCTTATATACACCGATGTGTCCCTGCTCTCTCTCTCTCTCTCTATCGATCTCTCTCTCTCTCTCTCTCTCTCGCTCGCTCTCCGTCACGTCCATGCCTCTTGAGAGACCATTTCTTCGTTGCTTGAGGCACGACGGGCGTCATGGCCCCCGCCCCTCCCCTCCCCCTATGATGTAACGCTCCCCCCCCCAGAGCGCTCCGGGCACTGCCGCCGTGCGTATCGGGATCCGCGTAGGAATCCGCATAGGAGTCTGGTCCGCAGTCGTCGTCGTCGTCGTCGTCGTCGTCGTCGTCGTCGTCGTCGTCGTCGTCGTCGTCGCTCGTGGCTCGTGGCTCGTGGCTCGTCGCTCGTCGCTCATCGACGTCGTGCGTGCGGACGCGGCTGGAGCCTGTTGTTTTATTCCGGGCCGATGACGGCAATCATCTGGGGGGGATGGAGGGGGTCGATGACGTCACGCTTCGCGCCGGCGGCGCCTGGAAACGCTTAGGAATGACGGAGGACGGGTGGCACCAGCATGTAGGTGGCGATCTGCACCACAACGCCTGTGTACACCTCAGCGCCTGCGTGCACCACAGCGCTTGTGTACACCACACCGCCAATGTACACCACAGCAGCCGCGTGCAACACAGTGTCAGTTTGTGCCACCGCGCGCGCGGGCGCAACAGCTCTTGTGTACACCACAGCGCCTGCGTGCACCACATCAGCCGTGTGCAACACAGCAGTGTACATCACGATGCCTGCGTGCATTGCAGTGCCTGTGTGCACCACGGCGCTTGTGTGCACCACAGCAACCGTGTGCAACACAGCACCACTGTTGTATGTAGAATTTTTGAAGGAGTCATCATGACAAAATGGAGCGTTTGTGGATGCACGCAAGCATTGTGGTGTACACAGGCGTTGCGTTGCACATGGTTGCTTCTGGTGTGCACATGTACACCGGCGCTGTAGTGTACGCAAGCACTGCAGTTTACACAGGCGCTGCGTTGCACACGGTTGTTGCGATGTACGCAGGCGCTGTGGTGTACACGCGCGCTGTGGTGCACGCGAGCGATGTGGTGTACACAGGCGCAGGGGGGCAGATCGCCACCTACATGCTGCTCGCGTCGTCGTCGTCGTCGTCGTCGTCGTCGTCGTCGTCGCTTGTCGCTCGTCGCGTCGTGCGCGCGGGCGCGGCTGTGGTGCCGGAGCGACACGGCCGGGGGGGGGGGGGGGCGTTATGTCATACCACCCCCCCGCCCCCCCCCCCCCATGACGCCCGTCATCGCCGAGCATAAAGAAACGCTCTCTTATTCACCTGGGGGAAGCATGGCCACATAGGTGTATATCTGATAGGGGGCCTTCCAGAAGGTGCTGACGGGCTCGGCGGATGGAACATCACAGATCTGGTCCGCCGCTTCCGGGGAGTGCCTGCGCACACTATCTGGCTGCCTGCGGTCAGCCCCGCCACCGAGCCGGCGCAGCAGCGTTTTGTCTTCGGCATTCCTTTGCGGAGATCCCCCGCATTGCTCGGTAGAACCATCTTGAGGCAGTCTGGGAAGCAGCGCCATGAATGCTGCAGTGGGGTGTGGTCGTAACGTTGGATCGTTGCATGGCTTCTTGCGTTGGCTCTTCCTTGTTCGAAACCTCTTGGAGACTTCCTGAGGACTCTCTGAGGTCCCCCGGGCGCCCGACGCGAGCCTCTTTGGGCCTCCCGTCGGCCACTCGCATTCGCGTAGCACGTGCTCACTGTTCTGAGTCCGCGCTGGCAGACGTGGCACCCCCACGCAAGACACACCCTTGGGTTGTGGAGGACGATCAATGGAGAGGAAGCATGTTGCCAACTATTTTCCAGATGTCTAAAACATGAGTTCACCATGTTTTAATCATGGAAAACAGGTTTAAAACATGTTCAGAACATGTTTCCGACGTTTTAAATACACGCCGGTCGTTGAAAGTAGGTATTTTTGGATTCCCAGATCCCAATCTACTTCAAGCGCCTTCCTACTTCAATAATCGACACGCTTTTGCTATGTTTTGTTATTCTCTGGGGGGCCTTTTGAACCAATCAGCTTAATCCGCCTTCCTTCTCCATGTTCCTACCTACTTCTTCCGGCCGACGTGTACATTTTAAACTCAATGGGTTGTGGAGGACGATGAGTGGAGAGGAAGCATGTTGCCAACTACCTTCCCGATGTCTGAAGCACGAGTCAACCATGTTTTAAGCATGAAGCAAACACATGCTCGAAACATGCTCAGACCATGTTTCCGACGTTTTGCATACATGCTACAGTCGGGGCCCTGAAGAAGGAACGCTTTTCGTTGGGGAGGGTCTCGGTGTTCCTTGATTGTTTTACAGTTTGCCTCGGGTTCCCCTTAGGTTTTTGCATGGGAAATCGAAGTTGAACTTATGGAAAAGAGGGGCCTCGTTCCTTATTTAGGGTTCCTTAGGTCAACGCCCCGACTGTAAATCTAATTGCAGGACTGTTGGGGTGCCCCCTGCCGTGGCACCCACCGCCCCTGGGGGCACTGGGGGCCCCGAGGGCTCGCCCGAGGCCCCCCGAGCAGCCGCGCCGCCCCTCGGCGCCCCTCAGGGGCCGCCGCCTCGGCCCGCCGCTCCCGGGGGTCCCTCGGGCCGCCCTTCGGGGAGGCCCCGAGGCCCTCGGGCAGGCTCGCCGATCCTCGGGGGCACTCCGGCCTCGGTGCCAGGTGGTCTGGGAAACTCCTCCCTCTCTCCCTCCCTCCCTCCCTCCCTCCCTCCCTCCCTCCTCTCCTCCTCTCCTCCTCCTCCTCCTCCTCCTCCTCCTCCTCCCTCCTCTCCTCCTCCTCCTCCTCCTCCTTCCTCCTCCTCCTCCTCCTCCTCCTCCTCCTCCTCCCTCCTCCTCCTCCTCCTCCTCCTCCTCCGTCCTCCTCCTCCGTAGCCATTTTGGCTCAAGGCTCATGCTTTTGCGGGCTGAGCCCGTATTGGCATTCTCGGATACCGCTAGTCCGCGGCAGTGCCAGAGCGCTTGCGCTCGACAGCTTTTCGCCTTCACCGAGGGGTTGGGCTCCCTCATCAGTTTTGTCGCCACGGCCAGGCAGCCCTCAGGGCCGTGGCTCTCGCCGCTTGTCCCTGCGACGTCGACGCCGCCATGGCCCCGACGCGCAAGGAGAATGCTTCGCCATGGTATTGCAAGTGGTGCAGGCATGACGTCACGAATCAGCCGTGGTTCAACGCCTCCACCCTTGTGTACTGCAAGAAGTGCGGCCTGCACAAGAGCAACTGTTTCAAGGAGAACAAAGCGGCGTCGCAGCCCAGCGTCTCGGCCAAGCAGCAGTCGCTCGCGGCCAAGGTCAAGGAGCTCGAGGCGCAGCTCGCCAAGCTCCGCGAGCATCCCCCTGGGCACGGGCCAGCGGCTACGGGTACAGGTGCGAGCCCACCTTGGGCTGCCGCGCCTGGGGATGCCGACACCGTCAAGAGGAACCGAATCAAGATGCTGGATCAGTTGCTTCGGGTCACTACTGACCCTGCTGATGCTGGTATTGTGGCCAAATGGCGTGAGGAGCGAGCTAGGTTGGACGCTGAGCTCTTTCAAGATAGGCCCATTGAGCATCAGGCCAGGTCATTGGCGTCAAGACTGTCCTCCGCCCGTTCGCGACAGGCTACCATCCAGGCCACTCGCGACGAGCAGCAGAGGAAGATCGACGAGCTCACCCGCGGCCTGGCCGACACTGACTCCAAGTTGCAGGAGGCGGCTGCGGAGGTCCTCCGCCTGGAGCAGCAGACTCGCGCCGCCATGTCGCGAGTCCAGCCGCCCGAGGGCACTCAGCCACCGACGTTGGCGGACCTGCTGCCCACCTTCGCGGTCAGCGTGGAGCAGCTGGGCAAGGTTGCATCGGGCCTCGGTCTCGGCGCCGACATGGTCAAGGAGCTGCAAGCTATGGCCAACACGGTCAGCAAGCTGCAGAATATGCCGCAGGCCAAGCCGCCTGAACCTGCACCTGCCCATGATGATGAGGATGGTGATGAGTCTTGTGCTGAGCCACCTGACATCGAGATGTCCGAGCAGGAGTACCGTGAGACGCTGGGTGCAGCAGGGGTCCAAGTCGAAGAGAGCGACACCCCTGACATCGTGCGTGAGAAGTTCAAGCGCCTTCAGCAGAGCTACTTGGACACTGTGGCCAAGAAGGCCAAGACGTCGGCGTGAATGTGCTCGGCTTGATATGCTGTTGCTTTGGCTCTTTGTCACGATGGTCAGCTCTACATCAGCGCAACATGTCGAGAGTCCGCCTCAGTCATCTTCGACGGCGGCTAGCATTCTGGGCAGGGGGGAGAGGGATTCAGCCCCTCATCGTCACACCCCCCTGCCCACATCGGCGTCTAGTTCCATGACCTCGGCTGGCACTACGGCGCCTACATTATTCCCCCCACTGGCCCGCTCCTCGGGGTGGGGGACAGCTCCGACCCTGACGGCGGCCTCGCCTACTTCGGTTGAGCCTGCAGCTCCGTCTGGGGCGACCACGGCATCACAGAGGGCTACTCCGTCTACGCCTACGCGGTTGGCCCCTGGCAGCACGCACTGCTCACCGACCTCACCTTCGGGGAGTGTCGGCAGAGGGTACCGACCGTCTTCGGACGGCACGCACCGCTCACCGCCCTTGCCCTCGGAGAATCCAGGCGGCAGAGAGTACCGACTGCCAGGGGCCCCACCGGGCCAGAGCGGCCCAGTGCGCACTACTTTGGATGACGATCATGACTTCTTTGAGGACGTTGAGCCTGGCATGGAAGCAGATCTGTGTGAAGGCGCATTTCATGAAGCGCCATCTTCGCCCCCACCTTCTTCCCGATTACGCTTCGAGAAATCAAGTCAAGAACGCGCTGCACCTACCTCGCCTTTGCCGCCAGGGAGCACGGAGGCGAAGGTGCAGCCAATGCATGCAGTATCTCAGCCGCAGCTCAAGGGCCTCATCACAACGGTGAATGCTACGAGCTACGGCCCTCTCTTTGACTTTTTGGCTACCCATCGGGGAACTATCTTGCTGGCACAAGAGTTGAGGATTACCGACTCTAGGCTTGGCGAGTTTCAGGCCATGGCCTTGTATGCTGGATGGCACGGGCTATGGGCCCCGTCGCCCTCTACGGGTGACTCAGCTACGTCCAACTTCGGAGGGGTCGCTGTACTTGTGCCGACATACATCATGGTCACAGCCCCACCTGATGATGGGCACATTATCTACCCAGGACGAGCAGTCTGTGCACAGATTAATTGGGGAGTGGCAGGCGGCATCATAGTCGCCAGTGTGTATCTTGTCACGTCCATTGGCATATCGGGCGAGAACATTGAGGTGTTGTGGGCCTTGGCACAGAGAGTTGCGGCATGGAACTCACGGGGCCTCGACTGGATCCTAGGTGGCGACTGGAACTCCGACATCGATGCGCTCAATGTTCGCAACTGGGTCGAGACCATGGCAGCCGTCCACTACGTGCCCGACCAGCGCACCTGCATCACCGATGAGGGCAAGAGCACCATAGACTATTTCGTCGTCTGTGCCAATTTAGCGTCTCGCATCAAGGGCAAGCCAGAGGTCCAGTATGACTCCACGGTCGTGCCGCCGCCGCATTTCCCTGTAGAGCTGCAGCTCATGGGCGAGGATCGCCCCACGTGGTGCCGTGTCCCTGTGGAGCCACGTCCCTTTGCGGTGGTGCCGCCAGTTGGCTGTGCTAGATATCCCTACCCGTGGCACAGACTTCAGACAGAGTTCCAACGGGTCAGCTGTGCCGACGATCTGAGCCCGCTCTGGGACTCCGTGTTGCGAGGGGTGGACTACGAGCTGGCAGGGCGTTACGACTGTGTGGGTGCTAAGGCCATGCAGTACATCGGACGCGAGGGGCCGCCGCAGTTCAAGTGGCAGCACTTGTCATGGCAGCCGCCACGCAGGCGCACCTACAAGGAGCCGACCGTGCTGGCCTGGGCCACGGCGAAGCGATGGGCCCAGCACCTTGTGGCTGAGAAGAAGCGGCTGGCGAGGTACATCGAGCGCCTCAAGCTCTGTGCTGCCGTGTGCGACATCACGCCGCTGCAGTACACTAAGGTCGTCGTGGCTTTCAACGAGGTGGCTGCCTTTTATAGACGCGCGGCTCGGTCAGAGCATGTGCTGTGTGTTTTGGATGCTGCCTTCGCAGGCTTCTTTCGGCGAGGGCTGACTGGCTTGGTCGAGGCTGACTTTGAGGACGTAGCCAAGGCAATCATTGCCAGAGCGGATCATCATTTGAGAACGGCACAAAGAGCGTCAGAGAGGGCCTGGAGGCAGTGGGCCAAAGAAGCCTTCCTGGGAGGAGCATCTCGGGCGCATTCGTCCTCCAAAGTTCGGGCTCGACAGGAGGTGCTTGCCTACTCCCACGACGCTCAGCCATACCAGATGGCTGACCGCACGCTCGACAAGTGGAAGGACGTTTGGACTTACCACGGTGCATGTTCTCTGCCGCTGCCTGTCGATCACGC